TCCTCCTGCCTCAGCCTCCCGAGTAGCTGGGACTACAGGCATGCACCACCATGCCTGGCTAATTTTTTCTATATATTTTTAGCTGTCCAAGTAATTTCTTTCTATTTTTTAGCAGAGACGGGGTCTTGCTCTTGTTCAGGCTGGTCTCAAACTCCTGAGCTCTAAGGATCCACCCACCTCCAGCTCCAGAGTGCTAGGATTACAGGCGTGAGCCACCACACCCAGCTTGGTTCTAGTAATTTTACTTCAAGGGAAACTCATAGATAGGTCAGGATTGATAATTAAAAAATAATAAAAAATAGGCCGGGTGCGGTGGCTCATACCTGGAATCCTAGCACTCTGGGAGGTGGGAGGATCGCTTGAGCCCAGGAGTTTGAGACCAGCCTGAGCAAGAGGGAGATCCCGTCTCTACTAAAAATAGAAAAAAAAAATTAGCTGGGCACGGTGGCGCATGCCTGTAGTCCCAGCTAGTCTGGAGGCTGAGGCAGGAGGACCGTTTGAGCCCAGGAGTTTGAGGTTGCTGTGAGCTAGGCTGATGCCACGGCACTCTAGCAGGGGCGACAGAGGGAGACTCTGACTCAAAAAAAATAAATAAAAAAATTGCTAGAACCCCAGTCACCAGTGACCTCCTCAGGGTGTCACGGACCCTTAGTCTGTCCCACTAGAGCCCCTCCATGCATTCATTTTATAGATGAGGAACTTGAGGCTCAGAGAGGGGAAGTGCCCTTCCCACAGGCTGGCGGATGAGCTCTACCTAAAATCCTCTGCGGCTCACCGTAGTTCTTTTCTCACCACCCCAGACTGTCACCTAGACCCCTCCCTGAACCCCGCCCCAAACCCTTTCCTGCTTTAGCCTCCAGAACAACACCATGTCCTGCTTCTCTGCCCCTCTTTCTTTATTTTTCTTTTCTTTTCTTTCTTTTTAAATCTATCTCCCTTCCTCCCTTCTTCCTTCCTTCCTCTTTTCTTTCTTTTTTCCTTCCTTCTTTCCTCTCTCTTTCTTTCTTGCTCTCTCTCTCTTTCTTCCTTTCTTCTTAGAGATGGGGTCTCTCTCTGTCACCCAGGCCGGAGTGCAGTGGCACGATCATAGCTCACTGCAGCCTTGAACTCCTGGGCTCAAGTGATCCTCCTGCCTCAGCCTCCCCAACTGGCTGGGACTACAGGCATGCCACCATGCCTGGCTCCTTTCCCTCTTTCTGACTGCTCCGGTCTGGCTCTGATTGCTATTTTTCCCCTATTCTCTTAAACTTGATGTTGTCCTAAGTCTCAGCTTCAACCTCACACCTCAACCATTCCTGGTCTCTCTTGGGGATTCTTTCTGGGATTGAATTATAGCCCTAAACTAACTGTGCAAGTAGACTGTGAGAGTTAAAGTGACCACAGGTGTCATAGAAGACTCAGATGATCACTAAACTGGCCTGTGGCCATCGTGGGCTGAATTAAAAGGAGCATAGTTTTCAAATCAAGGGAGGTAAACTTCTCAATGAACTCTGGGATAGTCCACACCTGAGTTCTAGGCACAGTTTGGGGAACAGGAGAAGGCATTGGCAAGAGGCATGTCTAGGAGGGCAAGCAGGAGGGAGAAGGAGGAACTGTTGAAGGATACTTTAGACAGAACACATTCCTAAGTTTTTCAAAGCCCTATTCACACACGCAACATTAGCTAAGCTACCTCCTCAGTAGCTTAGTAACAGCACTTATAAGTAACAGCACTTATTTTGTGTTAGGCTCTGCTGTAATACATATAAGTATTCATTTAACTCTCACAGCAATGTCGTGAGGTAGGTACTATTATTAACCCCATTAGACTGATGAGGAAATTGAGGTATCTAGTGGTTAAGCAACTTGCCCAAGGGCACATGGCTCTTAAGCTGTGTTGCCAGAACAGGAACCTAAGCTGTCTTCTCTAAGTCCTGTGCTCCTGACCACAACACTACACTTAACCACAACACGGCACAGAGCACCTCTCAGAGCTTTGTGACACTGCCCCAAGATGTGGACACAAGCAGGACCCTCCCCCCACCCACGTCTGCCTTCTGCATCATCACCTCCCCTCTCCTTCATGCCTCCTGCAACCCTCCCCCTACTGGAGCTCGGAACCCTGTCCACTCCCTTCTGCTCAGAGACACTCCCCCACCCCACGAGCAGCCCCCACCTGCAGCCTCCCGATTCCAGCACCCTCTAAACATGCCCGCATTTCTTCCTTCCCTAAACGAAACTGTTCTAACTTCCATCTTGTCACCAACATTCTGCTCTATCTTCTCACCTTCCTTTCACTTGAAAGAGCGTTTCACACTTGGGTCTCCACTTTCGCACCTCCCACTCCCTCCCAGGCTCTGCTCTCTGGCCTCCACCCCCACTTCACACAGAGAAACCTCTCACCAAGGTCACCCATGGTTGCCAAATCCAGTGGTAGCCTCTGACACTCCCTCTCTTGTTTCCTGAAACTTCTCTGTCCTCTAGGCTGTTGTGACTTGGCCTGGCCTGGTTTTCCTCACTTCTCCAATGGCTCCTTCCCCTGCAAGGGTAGCTCTCCCCAAAGTTGGGTCCTAGGTAGGGCCAATCTCTTTCTCACTCTCCTCCCTCTTCCTTCACCCTTCTATGTAGCTTTAAGTATCATCTTTAATGAGCCCCAAATGTCTACCCCAGCCCAGGTGTGCCCTCTGCAAGGGCTACAACAAGCAAACTAAGGAGTCTTAGTGCCAATTAGGAAAAGGTGCCCCTTCCTCTGGGCTAATTCAGGGGCACAGCTTGGCATGGGCTGGGCATCCGCCAGGCAAGGGGCAACCTAATCTAATTGCTGGCAGCCTCTTCCACCTGGGTTCCCCTCCATGAACCTCAATCCAGCAAGTACCCACCAGAACCCACGTACCTGCTCCTGTGCTCCGCACTTTAGCAAATGGCACCATCATCCACTCAGCTCCTTACGAAGATTTTGAGTCACCCCTGATCCCTCCCAATCCCCACAGCCCAATAGCAAATCAGTCACCAAGTCCTGGTGATTCCCACACTGCAAAGTCTCTTTAATCCCTTCTTTCCTTATGTATGTGTGGTATATGTGAAGATAGATTCTAAAAAGCTCTTATGAGCCTCAGTTTTCCCATATGTAAAATGGGGACAATAATAATATCGATAATGTTATTGTGAGAGTTAAATGAATCAAGGTAAGTAAAGCAGCTCTTGTAGTGTCTCAAGTATATGAAGGTACTCCATGAATGGTCACTTCCTGCCTCCATAATGGAATTAATACTAAGTAGGCTGGCGCGGTGGCTCACGCCTGTAATCCTAGCACTTTGGGAGGCTGAGGCGGGAGAATCGCTTGAGGCCAGCATTTGAGACCAGTCCAAGCAACACAGCTAGACCCCATCTCTACAAAAAATAAAATAAAATAAATTAGCTGGGCATGGTGGCACACACCTGCAGTCCCAGCTACTCGCAAGGTTGGGGCAGGAGGATCGCTTGAGCCCAGGAATTTGAGGTTGCAGTGATGCCACTGCACTCTAGCCTGGACAACAGAGTGACACTCTGTCTCAAAAAAACCCAAAACAAACAAACAGAAAAACCGAAATAATGCTCCTTTGCCTATGTTTAGCGCTTTACAATTTTTTAAAGCTCATATGCTGCTGTTACCATCGAGAAGTGACATGTACAATGCTTAGCAAATGCAGCGGGTCTATCTGGGTTCACAGACCAGCTCCACCACTTCCTGGCCATGTGAACTGGGGCGTGATATTGGATTTCTCTGTGCCTCAGTTTCTCATTTGTAAAATAAGATAACCACAGATTCTAACTCTGTTAATACACAGAAAGCCCTCTGAATAGTGTCCAGAACATAGCACATGCTATAAAACTATTATTTACTATTATTATCCTTATTATATTCTTTTGTTCTCACAATGGCCTTATGAAATTATAGATAAGGAGATAGGCTTGGAGTGGAGCAATGACTTGTCCCAGAGGTGGACTTGGAGTCTGGACTCCAGGGCCCTGTCCACAGGGCTGGCCTTCCCCCAGTCCCCACTCACTCTTCAGCCTGGATGGAGTCCGCAGGGGCCACATAGTTGCTGGGAATGTAGCCAGTTTGTCCAGAGCTGAGGGACCGAGCCTCCCACCAGTCACCTTCACTGTAGGCACAGAATAGAGGGTGGTCAGCAGGCACCAGGCAGGGACTCACCTTGGACACCCTCCAGGGGCTTTTGTCTGCTGAGCCCCCAGCCTCCTGCAGCTGCCCCAGGAGGGCTTTTCCCTGCAGAAGGAATAAATCTGGGGACATCTAGGCCTCCTGGCTTCTTCCTCTAGCTCTTCAGCTGGGCTAGGGTCTGGGGATACAGCTGACTATGGCACAATCCTACTGAAAATCCCCCAATGGCTACGTAGTTCTTTCTGGATAAAATCCAGACTCCTCCATGTGGCTTAAAAAGCCTCATAGAATCTTCTCTCAACTGCCTCTCCAGCCTCTGTTCCCTCTGTTCTGCATCTCATACTTTATGGACCACCTAGACTGAACCACTTGGTGATTTCTAGAAGTCATCATTTATTGTCATTCTCTCTCACTCTTTCTTTTTTCTCACCTCTTCCTTCACTGTCTATTCATTTTTCTAGTCTCAGCTTAACAATCAGCTTCTCCAGGAAGTCTTCCCTGATCACCACCACGCTGGGGACCTTGTTTGGTGTTCTTTCTGTGCTATAGTTCCTCATGCTCCCCATCACAGCAGTAGTCACCTAGGGTTTTCATTGTCATGCATATGTGTCCTCAACTAGGCTTTCTGAGGACAGGGGTAAGTAGGACTCCTGTCTGGGGCCTGCTTCCAGTCCATGCCATGCCCTGAGCTAGGTGGCCTGGTCACTTACGTGTTGTTCAGGATGTGGAACTTCTCACCCTTGGTGAAGGTGAGGTCATCCTCTGTCCGGGCCTCATAGTCATACAGGGCAATGAACTGGGTCACCCCGGTCCCTGCAGAGTCAGTAGAGTAGGGCACAGGACAGAAGCACCAAGGGGGGTCTGTATCCCAGATTCCTGTTGCCCAGCCAGGCACAGTGCCTCCCCACTGCTACTGCGCCCTGTACCCAAAGGCTGTTGGAGTCCAATCAATTTCTGATTTGGGCTCCACACCTCGGCACCCCATGGGTTCAGGACAAACACCTTTATGCACATCTCTCCCCTTGGGGAGAGCATGGGGAGTCCCATGTTGCCCACCCCTCCTCTTCCCCACCAGGAAGACTTCCCACCTCTTAGGGAAGTGGCACCTAAGAGGGCAAGTGGCACCACTTGCATCTGTCATCGGGTCCCCCTCTCAGACTGGGGTTCCGAGGGTGGGGCCGTCCATACTCCCTCCTCAGGGTTGTGTCTCCCACATCATGTTGGAGGCTCCTAAGGACAAGTCCACGTCTCCCCTTGCCCCAGTTTCTCCCAGGGTCCAGGTGGCACCTGCCTCTGGCCCATGGGACTCACCTGAGATGCCTCTGATGGTGCCACCATCGAGGAAGGCGGGGCTGGCGGGCTGAGGGGACAAGTTGCTGTAGTTGGGGATGTGTGCAAAGGAGGACGCAGGCCGGGCCAGAGTGGGGTCGGGGCCATAGCGGTCTGCTGTGCCGTCTGCTGCCCCGTAGCCCCTGAAGTTCCCTTCCAGGCCAGCATCCTCCTTGGGCCCGGGCTCCACCTTCTTGCAGAACACACAGCCCATTCCAGGTTCCCTGCTACAGAATGGGGGCATGCCTCACTCAGGGGCCCCTGCCAGGTGCACCACCCTACGTACACATAAGTGCACACACACGTACGCACTCACCTAGGCACGCGGCTTTGTCTCTCAGGCCTGGGTTGGGGCCACCCTGTGGGGATAAGGCTCTGCACGCTGGGTTGGCCTCCCAGTATGTGGCTCCTCAATGCTCCTCTTCCCATCCACTCCCACCCATGTCTCCGGGGCTGGCTTTCTGCACGGAGATGCTGCCGTGCTTACTTGGATATTTTTCCTTCCTGTTGCTTTGATATGTTGTGTTTCTGCGACTCCTTCAGTGTGTTTGTATATGTGTGTCTTTGTGTGTCTCTAAATATGTGTGAGTTTGCTTGTCAGTGTGTGTGTGTGTGCAGTTCTTTGTGGTGTCTGTGTGTACATGTTTGTGTGCATATGACTGTGTGCGTAAAAGTCTCTGCATGTTCGGCTGTGTGTGTGCATGTCTATGAGACCGTGTGAGTATGTGTGTGTTTCTGTGTGAGCATGTGTGTGTGCCTGTGTGTGTGTGAGTGGTTGTCTCTGTGTCTGTGTGTCTGGGAGTGTGTATGGAGCTCTGTGTGGGAGCAGGGCGCCTGTGTCTGTGTGGGTCTGCGTGTGTGCATGTCTGCGGAGGCGCATGTGTTTGTGCTGGAGTGTGTGTGAGGGCTTTGTGCCTGCACCTGGAGATTCCCTGCAGAGGGGGATCAAGGCCATTTCCTGTCGTGGGTCCAGCCTCCAGCCTCTCAAGCTGCCTCATTCTGGCTCCCCCAACCGTTACCTAGCAACAGGGCCCTTGTAGGAGGAGGGGGCTGTGAGGAAGGCCACCCCCACCCTGATTTCTGGCCCTGAAATCCCTCATTCCCCTCCCACCCTCCACTCACCCCTCAGGCTCCTGCTCCTGGGTCAGTGGGGCTGCGGCATGGTCCTTGGGAGGGGCCAGAGACCTGAGGGCGAGACAGAAGGACATGGAAGATGAAGGCCCTGCCAACGTCCCTGCCAGCCGGCTGCCCAGCTCCTGCCCTCTTCGGGAAGCCAGAAGGCCTGGGCTCTGCCCCAGCATGATTTCCGCCTTCATTTTCCTTCCCACCACCCCTGGCACATTACACAGCCACCCTCACATAGGACACACCGCCCACACCAGCTCTCTCACACTCATACCCACCTGACACACCAGCAGATGGACACACACTCACACCGTCACACAACACACAGTCACACCACACTCACAGCACACGTTTGCATGACTGCTTGCCAACGCCACCACACACAAGCCCAGGCTCTGAAGCACAGAAGCATATGCACACACACACACGTGTACACAGACATATGCACATATACATATACATGTGGCTGCCTCGGGTTAGCAGACTAACACGCTCGGACATGCGTATTTTCCTGTGTTAGACCCATCTCTCCAGCCAGATTCCTATGAAGCTGCGCTCAGCTCACCACAGGCCCTGGTCAGTGTCTCCTAAAAACAAGCCCTTTCCTGAACCCCAACTCTGCTCCCAGCCTGGCTGGGTAAACCCCAGCAGCCCCAGGTCACACCTGGTGACAGAAGGAAAGTAGACACCTACCTCCAGAGCTCTGCTCCTATCCCCACATCAGGAAAAGGCCCAGGTCAGAAGCTAGGGCCACCAGAGTCCCGTGGGGAGCCCTTCAAATGAGCCAAGCTTTTCCTGGCAGCTGTGTACTCTGAGCAACAGGGCAGGCAGGTCATTGAGCAAGGGTTCCCCACACCCTGCCAGAAACTCTGCCATTGCAACACCAGAGAGGAACTGATGGGGGACAGGGCTCAGTTTCCTAAGAAGCGAGAGGAATGGAGAGTTGCAGGGTGGGGCCCACCCACTGAACCCTGATTTGCCCCTGAGGGGCCTGAAGATTCTAGGGACAGGGGCCCCCCAACTTCTCTGTCTCAACCCCAGTTCCCTGTGGATATCCCCTCCTCTTCCCTCTGGGGATATCCTTCCTGCCTGACACCACTCACCTCTTCTGGGAAGGCTTCCTGGGTCCACCAGGTCCGGTTGCCTGTGATGTGCTGGTTGTCACATCAGTGCCCTGACCTCCACCTTAGCCCCATCTGCCCCTCTAGCCCTTCACTGTAACTGTTCTCCCATTTGTGTGCTGGGGGTGGGGGTGACACCCATGTGGTGAACTGTGGGGAGGGCTGTGGCGAGAAGCCTGCCCTAAAATAGCCCCCATTTAGCAGGCCCTGGCTGAGATCTTCACCCCCGGACCCCTCCCCTGGGGTGAAACCGCTGTGTCTGGAAGGCCCCAGAATGCTGCAGGGTGGTTAGGGCCAGGGCAGAGAATACTGGCAGTGGGGAGGAGGGCGTCCAGCGCCAGGCGAAGGGATTTCAGGGCTGGTGAGAGGAGAGATGGGGCTGCTAAGGAAACAAAGGTGACAGGGTGAGAATGAAGATCTTCTCACAGGAAGACACATGCGCACCTCAAATGGCACACAGGGCTGACACCCAGATCCATGCAGCCTTCCGACCCGTTCTCAGACGTGCACGTCGCCTCGGCTACAACGTACAGAGACAACAAGCTGCCCTGTACAGATTCCCAGACACACACAGCTTCAAGTGCACACACACCCCACATACACACACCTCCAGCCCTCCTCCATCTGCACAAAGAGGCGCACGCACACGCGCACACACACAGCCTCTCCACAAGAATAGCAAATATGGAATTTATAGCACTTACTATGTGCCAGCCACCACATTAAACACTTTACCTATACTACCTCATTTTACCCTCACAACAACCCTATGATTTAAATATTATTATTATTGACAAGGCAACTGAGGCACGGAGAGGTTTAGAAACTTGTCCAAGGCCACACACACGACATATCCTGGCGTTTGGCTCCAGAATGTCAGCTCTCAGCCACTTCTCTCCATGTTGCCCGTCACAGACAAGGATCGTTGCACCCATTCCTGCAAGTGTGCACAGATGCAGAGGCCCCCTGGGGACACTCACACGAACACACAGTGATACACGGCCCTCCCCCGAGACACAGACCGGCACAGGGCTCTCCTCTCTAAGAGGACGCAAACTTACATAGCCAGGTCCACACACAGACGCGACGCTGCCATTTCTAATATCACCCAAGTATATATTGCCACGACGTATCTGTATCAGCCCAAGGGGAGCCCTGGATTCCACGTGCCTGGTTTGGGGAGGAGGGAGGCTGTACGCCTCTGAGAAGGAGGCAGAAAGCTCTGTGGGCTGAGGAAGAGCCTTGGCAGGACTGACAGTATGGTTGGCAGGCGGAGGTGGGCAGCTCTCAGGGCTTTGTCACTCCCAGGCTTGATGGGGACCAAAGCCCCAGCTGGGCCTGGCTTTCTGGAGGCCAATGTGCTGAGGGGGTCAGGGGATGGAAGGCACAGGGTCTGGCATCCGTGTGGCCCAGCGCAATGAGGGGGCCACACTGCATGTGACCAGGCTTATGTGATTTTGTCAGAGGAAAGAAAGAGACAGGGAGAGACAGAAAAAGAAGTAGAGAGAGAGACAGAGACAGAGGCAGAGGCTGAGAGATACAGAGAGACATAGAGAGAGGAGAGAGCCAGACAGACATAAAGACGGAGACAGACGTAAGAGACAGAGACGAAGGGGACCCGGTGTGGTGTGCTGGTAAACTGATTCTCACAAAAAACCCCAAGCCCTGATTTGTCGCATTTGCTGATTTCCATGGTGTAAATACTGCCACCATGGCTGATTTAGAGCCACCAAAATGACTTCCTGATTGCTGGGCTGGGAGAGATGCGCAGAATCAGCTCCCCCGAGCCAGAACCAGCCGGCTCCAGACACCACCGCCGGAAAGGAACAGAGACAAAGAGAGACTGGCAGAAACGGGGGTCAGAGAGAAAGGGCAACTGAGAGACGGAAAGGGCCAGAAACTGAAAAACAGAAAGAGATGAAGCCAAAGGGGCAGAGAGAGAACTAAAGAGACAAAGAGAAAAAGGACAGAGGGAGCAGGTGGGGGTTCTCTCTGCTCGGGCATCTCGTGAAAACAGCTCCCGGGACTCCTCATCCTCCCCTTGCTTAGATCCCTACCTGGCACCAGTTCTCTGCAGAGTAATGTGACTTCCTAGAAATCTGGGTGGCAATAACTACTCGCGAAAATGTGCTAATTTATTAAACATTTGCACAATGGCTGGCATCGTGCCAAACAATTCCCACACATGATCTCACTTAGGGACCCTATGAGGGAAGTTTTAGTGCTACCTCTGTTGCACACATGAGGAAACTGAGGCACAGAGATGAAGCTGCCCGAGATTGTACTATGAGCGAGGAAAGCTGATATGCAACGCCAATCAGTCCGGCTCCAAAGCCCACCTTTAGCGCTCTCCCTTCTTCAGTCCTCGTAGAAGCAATAATGTGTGGCCCCTAGTGAGCACCGATGGTGTGGGTGTGCCAGGCCCTGTGCTTCATGTTCTGAATCCTCCATGCGACAGAGAAAGAGAGAGAGAGAGAGGGAGGGAGGAAGGGAGGGAGGGAGAGGGAGAGAGATCTGCTCAGACTCTCTCAGGCAATCACTGAATCTGAGGCCAGTTCTCTCTTTTCTCAGCACTGAACTTGGCTGCCTGCTAACACCAGAAAGGGAGCAGTTCAAAGAGTGGCCACAGCATTCTGGGCACTGCAGGGACTTGGGTCTGTTTATGAAAATGTCTCTTGAACATCCGGTTGACAAGGGTTGGCTTGCAGAGCCCCATCGGTGTCAAAATCGGATTATGGGTATCAGAGCTGAGGTCCGAGCCTGGACCAGGGCACCCCCCCCTTCAACATCTGCCCCTGTGTAGCCCTCCCAGCTCTGTTCTTTAGTAGCTCTGTGACCTTGGATGAATGACAGAAGCCCTCTGGGCCTCAGTTTTTGCACCTGCACCTCCTGAGCAGAGCTGTTGTGAGGGCTTGATGAGGTGTGGTTTCTGCCCAGTGTGCCGTGGCCAAGCGTGGCCGAGAACCACAGCAGCAAAGCCAGAATGGCTCCCAGGGACCATTTATCAGTTCACCCCCTTCTGTGCGTAGGGGGGAAATGACTTGCCTGAGGTCGCACAGCCAGATGGCATTCAAAGCCAGGACTATTAATTCAGGCCCAGAGTTCTGCTCCTAGCACTGTGGCGGTGTTCTTCAAAGCCTGAGCAGGAGACCATGCTGTTTCTGACTGGTGAATGACATGCTTCCTACCCAGGGCCTGGCCAGCTGAACACATCACCCCTGTCATATCGCAGGGGGCCACCCAGCAGGGAAACTGCCTCCCACCCACCCCTACTCCTGGGCATAGGAGCCCCAGGCCCACCCATCCTTTCTTGAGGTCCACACTTCCCAAAGCCATGTCAGGCCTTGATGTAGACACAGGATGTCCCCTCCCCCACAATCCCCACCAAGTATCTGTGGGATCTAGAGACAGACTTAGGCTCAAATTCTACCCTGCCTGACAACTAGCTTGAGGCAATGGGCAAGTCAGTTCATCTCTTAGAGCCACACTTTCTTTGCCTATAAAGTGAAAATGCAAATCTCTACCTGAGAGGGTTGTTTCTGTGCATCCAATGCCATGAAGCCCCTAAAAGTATCAGGCATACAGTAGGTGCTCAGTGAACTTTCACTTCCCTTGAGGGCAGGTGGGGGGGTGGAGGTGGTGGGGTGCAGGGCTGGGCAGGGCTAAGAAGAAAGAGAAGTTCCCAGGGGTGGTGGGAGGGCTGAGGGCCCAGCTGCCTGGGGGATTTCACCAAAAGGGAACTGGGACTTTGGCCACCCGCAGGAAACCACCATCCTGCAAGAGTTCCGGCTTCTCCTCAGGGCTCCAGGTTGGCCAAGGGCAGCAGGGGCAGGAAGCAAGTCTAAAGTCCGCAGGTAACCCCCAGGCCACTGCACCCCATCCCTCGCTGAGATCTGACGTCAGTCCTCTCACTGGGCCCCTCCAGCCCACTGAATCCCTG